CAGTTAACTAAGTTTCAGATCTTTCGAAGTTCTAATACGTAACAGTGCCTATTATCAAGAATTCCAGTAAAAAAAGAATGTATACATATATTATACTTTGATCTAAAAAATGTGTAACTTGTAAGATTCGTAGTTAATAATAATAAAAAAAGCCACTTCAGGTATAAGTTTGGTATGCTACGTTAAAGATAAAAACTGTTCCAAAAATTGCTTTAGTGTTAACGCGAGGCGTTAAAAATTGTGTTTAGATAATATCTTTATAATGCATTTTTCAATATGCTGATCATTTACACCATAGATTATCAACAGGGGTTTCGCGAAGAGTTTTGGGGAACACAGTTATTTTTATATGTACTTTAAAATACAAAGTACAGTCTGTAGTATTTTCCCCAGACCTTTATCGAATTAATTTATCACGTGTGGAGATCGCCACGGACTAGGTCGGAGTCCATGAGTTCTTCGTTTAATCGAAAAGGACACGCAGAGCTTAAAAGATTGAGAAACATGACGATAGTCCTCATTAAATAAGCTGAGAGAACGTACATTATTGATTTCAATTCATTTAAAATTCTAGCCTGGATATCTATTTCAAAATTAATATCCAATTCATTTGACATCTTCTTTGATGTCCGGGAGTGTTATTTATTATCTATATTCGGTTCAAACTGTAATAGTTATTTGCACTGAAGGAACGCAGGAAGTAAACAGTAGAGGTAAACGCGCCGGATGAAAATTGAAGTTTCTGAAAAAGATTATTATTTGCGAATGATAATATACATATATGTGTGTTAAGAAATTAGAAAATACTTTTATTTATTGAGCTTTGGTAAGTGAGGATTTAAAATTTTGATACACAAGCAATATTTAAAAACATGGTTTTATCTTATGTAGAATTGTTCGGAAGAGTAAGGTTTTTCCTTAATCTTTTTAACTATGAATCTCCATTTTTTTATTTTTTTTACCTGTATAACGATTAGAGGTAAGAATTCAGTGGTGAATAAGTCAGTTAGCTTTTCATATTACCTGTGGTTAATTAAAATTGAAATTCCGCAGACATACCGCTGTGCCACTGTGGGGGAGGGCTTTAACAAATGTCAACAACTGTGTTGCTGCTTGTTGTTGTTGTTGCTATATATTTGATGATGCTGTTTGTAATTAAGCACAAAGCTACACGAGGGGCTATCTGTGCTTTGCCCACCACGGGTATCGAAACTCAGTTTCTAGCGTTGTAAGTCCACAGACATACCGCTGTGCCACTGGGGGCGTTTTATGATACGTTGTTATTATGAATCACGTGCAAGTATAAAGTTTATCCAGCGTTCCCTAACACTTTTCTTAGCAGCTGTGTTTTAGTTGATAAATTAATAATTAGTTTATGATGTACTTGTTCTTTGCTTATCAACAAAATTGCGAATTTAAGCAAGAAAAAAAAAAAAAACCCGAGTCCAAATACTATTCTTGGACGTACTGCACACTGAGTTAGGCCTATTTCTGGAAACTTCCCATTTCCCAGTAACCATAGGCAAACACATATCGAAGAGCTAGACCAAACTCTTTCGTATTGGTGAACTGTAGTTTGGGTACATGGTTTTTATCACAGCTTGTCCGCTGAAGAGTTTAGAAGAACAAATTAATATCATTACTCTTATTTATACAAATAAAGCAGTAGTAGGAGTTTCGTATGCTGTTTGGAGGTGAGTATCCGGGAGAAGGACTTACGTCCTAGTTCGGACACCAGGTGAGCATGTTTCGGTGTGACGGGGATTCGAACCCGCGACCCTCTGATTGCGAGTCGAGTGCCCTAACCACCTGGCCATGCCGGGCCACAAATAAAGTCATAGGCGGCGAGTTGTCGTCCCTCTGAACAGCAGTTCTGAATTAGGATTGACTGTGCCTGAAATTTAGGGACTTCGACCTGGCCATTAAATCCATGTGTCACGTAAGGCGCTATTTTAGTTAAAAATACCAATACCGATACTTAAGGCAGTAAATCCATGTGTCACATAAGGCGCTATTTTAGTTGAAAATACCAATACCGATACTTAAGGCAGTAACGCACCTATCGAAATTCTAGCTATATACAACCATTAAAATAGTCCACTGGTGTGACAGCGTTAAGTCTGTAGATTTACAAAGTAAAAATCCGGGGTTCGAATGCCCGCTGGGGGCACAGCAGATAGTCCAATGGGGGCTTTGTTCTAAAACACACACCACTAAAGTAGGTTTTTATGTAAAGACTAAAAGCACGAGAATCTAAACTATTAAACTTTTAACAATTAGTATCATTAATCTGACTACTACGATTATTTAGGGCAGATTAATCTGACCACTACGGCTATTTAGGGCAGATTAATCTGACCTCTACGACTATTTAGGGCAGATTAATCTGACTACTACGACTATTTAGGGCAGATTAATTTGACTACTACGATTAGTTAGAGCAGATTAATCTGACCACTACGGCTATTTAGGGCAGATTAATCTGACCTCTACGACTATTTAGGGCAGATTAATCTGACTACTACGACTATTTAGGGCAGATTAATTTGACTACTACGATTATTTAGGGCAGATTAATCTGACCTCTACGACTATTTAGGGCAGATTAATCTGACCTCTACGACTGTTTAGGGCAGATTAATTTGACTAGTACGACTATTTAGGGCAGATTAATTTGACTACTACGACTATTTAGGGCAGATTAATCTGACCACTACGCTATTTAGGGCAGATTAATTTGACCACTACGCTATTTAGGGCAGATTAATTTGACCACTACGACTACTTAGGGCAGATTAATTTGACTACTACGACTATTTAGGGCAGATTAATCTGACTACTACAACTATTTAGGGCAGATTAATCAGCAGTCCCAAAAGCTATTGAACAGTAGTCGAGTTAATCGCCCCCGTATTTTCAACCTAACTAAACACTCAAAAGAAAACTTCTGAAGAACAAATTTGTCTAGTGGTCAAGTGAAACTAAACAGACGGTAACCTGTAATTTTGTTGCATCGATTATTAGCTGTAGGTATTTATCTACTCACCTTAAACAGCTTCGAACACCTTTAACATACTTCCATTCAGCCAAAGCTCCCTTGATACTACGCGGGTCTCTATCCCTTTAAAAAAAAATTAAACTTATGCCAAATAATCTAAAAAGAAACCAAATAAATATTAAGAAATTAAAAACAACAACATATATATGTAGCTTGAGTATAGACCTTAAGTACAGTTTCTTATTAATCATAACAAAACTGTTTATCGTGTCATAGTTAGAAACATTTAAAGCTACCATTTTATAATTTTATTGTGATAAATGTTTATGTTTTTAAACTTTGCTGGATCAAATAACCTTAAATAACGACTCGTTCAAAAGGTAAAAAAATATCGAGTCAATTAAACATGAGTATAGGAATTGTAATTTGAGAAATGCAAAGAAATTTAAATGTTATAAATTGAATGATTAAAAAGATATAGTTAAATAATTTAGGTGTGAACATATTATTCCCAGGTGACCCCTGAAGATGAAAGGTCCACCTTTCGAAAGCGCTCGGGTTATAGGGTTTTTATCATTACATATTCAGTAACTTAGATATGAATATCCACATATTAAGTAACTTAGATAAGAATACTCACATATTAAGTAACTTAAATAAGAATACTCACATATTAAGCAACTTAGGTAGGGTTAATCACATATTAAGTAACTTGGGTACCACTGTTCACACATTAAGCACTTTAGGCATGGGTCTTCACATATTAAGTAATTTAGATATGGATATTCACACATGAAGTAGTCTTTAGATATATATATATATGGATATTCAGATAGTACGTTTCGAATTGAGTTTGATTTGTAGATTTTCGATTCCATTAAAACTGTTTATGATATATTTTAGGCTTATTTTTCGGTTTGCATTACATATTTCAACAGCTTAAATATGAAGCGACAAAATGAATTTTTGATTAATTTGATAAAAGCACATCTGGAAATACTGAGCACTGTTTCATTGAAAGTAATAAACGCCAGTCTGAGTTGAAAAAGTTAAGACTAATAACTATATACGTTCTTGTCATAGTTAAATTTTGATGTTCCAATATATAAAATATAATTTTTCTCACGCAAGAATGTTTTTAATTTTTGCTGTCATTTCAATTAATTTTTTTTCCCTGAACTCTATTAAGCCTACCCATTTTCTTAAGACGATTTCCTCTTTAATATCTTGTTTATCTAAAAGTTTTATTTACGTTAATTGCTAAAATAGGATTCTTATTGGTCTAATATATTTTAAGGAAATGTGTCTTCTTATTACTTAGTACATCAACAGTGGAAATAATCTCGTAACTCAATTTACGGGGGAAAAACATTTTGAGAAAAACATAAACAACACATTTTTTTATCGAACCTTGCCCTTTAATGTCTCACAAGTGCTTGAGAAAAAAAATCCAAGTAAAAGTGATACAATACTGTTTGAATAATTCGAGAAATCCTAATGGAAAGGACAAATACAAAGTAAAAAATTCTCTTTTAACTTACCAAATATCTACATGTAACACATCTTTCTGTGCGTTGCTGATGTCTCTAGATACAGAAACAAAAGCAAATTTTTATCTGATATAACTGCTTCATCTTAAAATTTTAGATATTAAAAAAGGCCTTAGTGTAGTTCTTGAAATCTCAACAATTCCAATAATCAAGGAAAAACCAGTTTATAAATCACTGTTGATAAAGAACTTTAACATATTATACATATAAACAGTTACATCTGGTAGATGGTGTAACCCAACCACTACAGGGGGTCGTCGTACTTCCACAGACACCTACAAGACTAGGATACAGTTCATATTTTCCCGCTATTTAACTTGTGCTCTGGTGTTACTTGTTATCCTGTTGCTACGCTCTCTGCGGAGCTACAACGTTAGAAGCCGGGTTTCGATATCCGTGGTGGGCATAGTATAGATAGCCCATTGTTTAGATTGGTGCTTAACTTCAAACAAACAAATCAGATAGCTGGGCTTATATAGTTTTATACTAGTATAATTTGTCCACTGTACTACTAATATCAGCTTACTAAATTCAGCTTTTTATTGGGGACTGGAATGTCAACGTCAGGAGGTAAGGCTCCCCCTTACTTACTTACCTCCAATGGCAGGGCCTCATTTCTTTTCGTTTTTCTTTCATTTTATATTTCTTTGGAGAGCAGTCATCTTCCCACAACTGTCTGCAGGCAGCGAAGGGAGGTATAGATGTGGGACGTCGTGGGCTTGAACACTAAGACCTTGCTCTGCTAACGTATTCATGTTTTTCTCACTTATTTTATGTTATGTGAGACTAGCGAAGGGAAGTTAAGAATGGTAGACGGTGTATCCCCACCGCTATGTGGGTCCCACCTCCAAAACCCAGGACACATCTTATATTCTACATTATAGCTAGTAACCTGGTGATCTTTTTTAATTTATGCAGCTTTTATGTTGTGGTTGTTAAAGCTTGTTCAGATAATTAAATTTTTTTTTTTCATCACATGTTTGGTCTTGCTGTTTTAAACGCAGTCCTTCCTTTTAATATTAATATTTACTTAACTGTCGAAATCATGTTTTGACATATACGCTACATATATACATATAAATTTATAAAAATATAAATATTATATATGCCTTTTATTGTTATCATTCAGAAACAAAACTTTTGTACACATATTTTTTTTTATATTTATGTTAAACGAAACATTAATAACCTGTACAATGACATTTTACTATTGGATAGAGATTTAAAAAAACAACAACACACGATGTATTGGATAATTACAATGTAAATGTTTCTCTCCAGACAGGATTTCGATTCTGTTCTTTCACTTCTGTTGTTCTGCTCTGTTTTTTGTTAATCCACAGTCTGCAGTAGGGATCACATAAACCTGCATATATAATATGGATTAGATAGTGTGTCTCAGTTGTTACCCACGAGAAAACATCTAAAGGGTTACAACAAAGGACAATTTTTTGAACACAAAATACGATGCGTCAAGGCAGCGGGCCGAGCTTCGTAGAATATTAAATAGCAGGCAACATTCAGTTCATCAACATTCCGATATTTGACAGATTGGAGCTGCACGTCTAAAGGCTTCCCAGGCTATACGCATCAAATTTTTTCAAAGTCGGCTTGATAGTTATGAAATGCTTATTGTCGTCAAAACAAGTACACGCTCTCCAAAAAAGCTAGCCCTCCCAGTGGCACAGCGGTATGTCTGCGGACTTACAACGCTAGAACCCGGGTTTCGATACCCGTGGTGGGCAGAGCACAGTTAGCCCGTTGTGTAGCTTTGTGCTTAATTACAAACCCAAACAAACCAAATATAAACTTCAGAAGTGGTGTCGCCATAAGATGATTATCAAAAAGTGCACTATTAACCTGGCTGGCTACTTTTTAAAAACTGTTAAACATTTAATCTTACATATACAAATCTTAATCCAATTTTCACTATATCTAAAATTTTAAACTTCATGTAATATTTTGGTTTTATTAGCTTAAATATATTTTTTTCAGTATGTAAATTTGAGATGAATTTACTTATTTTTCTTAGTTTTTTTTGTAATCAAGCACAGAGGTACACAAGGGGCATTCTGTGCTCTGGCTCCCACGGGTATCGAAACCCCGATTCTAGCGTTGTAACTCCGCAGACATACCGCTGTGCCACTGGAGGGCTAAACTTATTCAGTAGTCAGCCTTGCACAAGTTTGATTGTTTAAAATTATGCCCAGCCCCAGAGAATACTGAAAAGTGAATAAAGAAGGCATTTAGAATATTCTAGAAAAAGAAAAGAACTATAAAAAAAAGTATTGCACAAAAACCACGAAGTAGTCGATGGCTATCCGTTCGCTCAGCATTCACGTATAGAAGCAGAGGCTTACTTTCCAAAAACTCATCAATTTTAATACTTTCAAAGTAATAGCGGGAATGTCATCAAGCTAGAAGCCTTTGATGGCGTCAATATTGATTCAGTCACATTGCTGCAAAAAAAAAAGAAAAAAAAGGACTTTCTCATCTTAAATAAAGTGAACCGAATCATTACCGTCTTCAACTGCATTATATTGATGCGTTACAGTTTTGGTCAAGTCGATCTTGGATCGATGAACATTAACGTAAATAATGTCGATGTATATCCCATTAACGACCAATCATAACTCACATTTGTAATCAACTTAATGTCACTTATGGTTCCGATAGTTATCAAGCTGGCATTGTATTGTAGTTTCGTACATTTAATGAGAAGAAAAAAAAAGATTATTTTCGACTTCAATTCGAAGAATAACGCCCCCCAGTGGTACGGCGGTATGTCTGCGGACTTACAACGCTACAATCCGGGTTTCGATACCCGTGGTGGGCAGAGCACAGATAGCCCATTGTGTAGCTTTGTGCTTAATTACAAACAAATCGAAGAATAACTTTTATAGAACAGACAAATTTGTAGACTTTTTGATAGTAAAATATAATAACAATAATGGAATTTAAAGTAGTGGCAGTAATTTTGTTTCGAAGTGTCTATTGTATAATCTTAGGAATGCAAGATGATGCATCTTTTTTAATGAAACTCTGAACCAAGAGTGTAGACAAATCACGTTGTTTTATTTCGTAAAATGTAAAACAAGCTTTAAATAAGTATTTCCCTGTTGACGAATTTTAAAAGAAAATGTTTTAAGGTGGCTATAAATGGTAGTAACAAAACAAGCTTTCTTACCACTTGCATCATTTGACGGTAATTCTTTAGCTTCCAGAACTTTAACTATTAGTTGAATAGGATTTTCCTGTAAGGTAACAAAGGTTCTTTTTGGTCAAAAGTCTTCAAAGAGTTCAATAGAAAATATAGATTAACATATTCAAAAAAATATTTTTTTTATATATAATAGGCCGAGTCTATGCTACATAAACTTAAGTTATAAGTATCAAACTTTACGGTAGTTGGTAACACGTGATCACCAATAGTAGAAGTATAAAAAAAAAAGGAACGTCGTTGTCGGTATAATTTATATTTATCAGATGGCGTTGGTACCTTCATTCGAGTTGCCTGACTTTGTAGCTCTTGTTGTTTCTCGGGGGGTAACTTCCAAAACAGATCCTGCATGAAACTTATAATTTCTTGTGTCGTGGAGCTGTAAACCTTGCTTGAGGTCCCCAGGTAATTTTGTGCTGCAAAACACGACTGTATGTAAAGCTGTGTTAACTGAAAAGAAAAAAAACAACAACAAAAAACAGGCGTAATTAAGTGAAGCTTGAGAAGATTCTTTAAAGGAAAGTTTAAGCTTACTTAAAAATAAATAAATAAATGAACCGGGTATAGCCAAGAGGTTAACGCGTTCTGACTGTAAATACGAGGGGTTATGGTTCGCGTCCCGTAATTGCATAAACGGGACTCATCACTTTGGAGCCGTGTATGCATCATAAGAGTGACAGTCAAATCCCATTATTCGACCGGATAAGAATAACTAAAGATTTGGTGGAGAGTATTGCTGTCTTGCTTTTTCCCCCTCTCGGCCCAGCATGGCCAGAGGGTTAGGGCGCTCGACACGCAATCTGACGGTAGCGGGTTCGAATCCCCATCCCACCAGACATGCTCGCCCTTTCAGTCGTGGGGGGCATTATAATGTGACGGTCAATCCCACTATTTTTTGGTCAAAGAGTAGCCCAAGGGTTGGCGGTGGGTGGTGATGACTAGCTGCCTTCCCTCTAGTCTTACACTGCTAAATTAGGAACGGCTAGCGCATATAGTCCTCGTGTAGCTTTGCGCGAACTTCAAAACGGAAACAAACCAACAAAATCTTCCCTTTCCCTCAAGTCATGAGTTCAGAATTAGGGATGATTATGGCGAGATAGCCCTTGCGAAGCTTCGCGCAAAAACTTTAAAACAAATAAGAAATAAATAATAATAATTTATTTCGTTTTTAAATTACCTATTTCTAACAGTTTGTTTGTAATTAAGCACAAAGCTACACAATGGGCTATCTGTGCTCTGCCCACGACGGGTATCGAAACCCGGATTCTAGTGTTGTAAGTCCGCAGACACACCGCTGTGCCACT